ATATATATATATAGGTAATTTATATCCTTGGGGAAATATTCTCTATGACTATTAATTGGTGCTGCCATCTATGAATTTAATGTGGAAACCGAATTTTATAGGGATTCGTATATAGTTACTAAACATGCCCATTAAACGTTGTTTTCAACATTACTTATGTAATCATAATTTTTATGTAGCACAGTAATTTTATAGAAAGTTTGCATAATCCAACTGCTGGAAGTCCGCTGATTTGGTGGGCGGAGCATATTTGTGACTATTGTAGCCGTATCTACATCGATATTATTAATTAGTGTAGAAGTCGATCAGTAAGCCATCGTGTGAGTTATATGGAAGTAAATAATCTACCGTATACCCCTTACCGCGCCGCGCATCATCCTGGCCATGACAAATAAGTTGGTAAAATGATGCATTCACCTTAGAAATTACAGCCCCACTGGAAGCCAAAACTTTGACTCGTAAAAAGAAAAAAAAATGCAGAAACTAGTAACAAAATTTTATTGTAAAATTGTTGTGAGGGGGGAGGGAAATCGGAAACTAGAGAGCATTTGGGATGGGAGGAAAATCCCAACAATCTTAGAATAAAAATTGTTAGTAAATATCAAGATATTTTCGATGTTTAATATTTTAGTTTGTTTCCATATAGTGTGGTTAGAATACGTCATCTGATAAAGTGACATCTGTTGGATAGATACCCAATGTGACGGCCTCCATAATAGATTAATTGTCGCTGCTTAAACTAAGAATTTTTTTTAAAACTGTAAATCAGATCTTAATATAACTGTAAATAATTTTATGAACTTTGAACAAAGTATTTTCTAGAGATTTTGTGTACCCTTTTAATGGTTATGTGAAGGTTACTTCATGCCATATAGCAACATATAAATCTGCTAAATAATTGAACTATTTTTTACTTTAAATGTGATGCATTGTAAACTATTACCTAAATAAGAAAACAACGTATTCTGTCATATTGTGTTATCTGTTTTTGAATTAAAAATTAAAAAAAGTGGCCAAACTGGAATAAATGTTCAGGTTGAAATACTAATGTATTTGGTTACTCGCGACTGCTGAGTTAGTATTGTTACGTCTCCGTTTGTTAATTAATTTTCCGTAACTTCGTTCCGACGAAACTTTAGCGACACAAGTCCTTTCTTAATAAAACTGGTTTATTCTTTCTGAATATAACATTACCGATACACTTATTTTCAACAGTCGCGCTATAACAACGAACGTGCTCAACTTCAACAATACTCTCTGACTGCAGTTCAATTACTCACTACACTGTTTTTGTCACGTTGTGACCGTCTTTTATACACAAGACTAACACATTCCTGAAGAAACGGGATATTTCTAGAAAACGTGGCGTGACACTAATCACGTGACCTCGCTGACGCAACAGTATTATATGCAATAGTTATATTATCGATTTTTGGTGTTAACGACATATGCTATATTTTTTCTTTTCTTTCAACAGGCTGTGAATGGTAAACTTTACACGTGAAGTAAAAAAAAAGGGAATAACTGAATATACTATAAATTAAAAATACCTATAATTCTGAAGATTTAATTTTTTTTTCTATTTCAGCTTTCATTTTGTCACTGGGCGTTTCACTGGCAACTTTGTTTTGTACTGTTCTTTGTTTTTCTTGCTTGTCTTATCAACTAGTCAACAAATCACGTGATTTACGGATGATAAGGCATGTGATGGATGCGGTAGGTTTTGGTTTTGTTCAGCACCTATAATGATTGTATAGATATGTTTGACAAAATTATTACTTCAGTTTGATTTATTTTTAAACATAATACGAAGAGCTATCAATACGATCTTTTTAGTAAGTTAAATAAGACATAAAATTGAAATTACGTTTATAGAGATAAATATATTGCATAGCAAGGACCTTCAGTAGCTATCGTAACATTAGAATTAATCAGATATCCGAGACTTATTATAAATCATTTGGTAAAACAAAAAAAGGCCTAATTTTTACTTTTCAAAGTTCTGGTATGCGAATGAAAGTTTAAAGGTTAATTATCTGGCGAAATGTGTTTGACCATTTCATGAATACAATTGTAGGAGAGATCCACTTTTTTGTTTGCATTTGGAAGTCGTAAGAAAACTATGAACACTTTGGTGTACTGAGCTGAAATTAACATTGCACTAAATGTAGTCAATTTTTGTTAGCACTTCTTATAACTGAATATGCTCTTGTAATTTCTTGACGTTGCGGACACTACGCTGTAATTTCTCAGATTTTTCAGTACTTTGTTTATTAACCTGGTTACATAATGTTTGAAATAATGAGGATTATGTAGTTTTGTTAAACTTGGCTATTTTGTGAAAAGTTCGTTAGAAATTAGTCTAAGCAACGAAACTACAAATTTTCCCAGCAATTGTGAAAAAATGATGAAGACTGAAAGTCAAAACTAGGGTTAACATAAAGGGCGACTCTTTTTCTGTGGTAAGTTATTGATGTTTTAACTTTATTATCAGGACATTTAAATTAAAAAAAAATATTTTTCCCTATTTTACAGCCACCGCAAAGTCCTTATGAGTGGGTGTTTTCTTCCAAATCAGAAACATCATATAGGACTGATGACGATGATGAATATGATAGTGAAAGGTCAACCAATGAACGTCTTTCTCTGTCAGATGAGTCTATGAGTAAGTCAGAAACTTTAGAAAGTCGGAAAAATAGAGTTTCCACATTTGGGAAGCAACCTTCTAAACCATTGTATACCACTTCATTTAAAATATCATCCAAATTTAACTCGACACAGTCTGAAGTGCAGACTACATCATGTATGGGACTTCAGCGCCATCTATACACTGACATAGTAAATGGAAAAAATAATTCTGAAAATGTTCAAACCGATAGCGATGGAAAACATTTTCACCCATCATTGTTTGTTTCTAACAGAAACTACTGCCCAGCGACTTTTAAGAGCAGTGCAGTGGAACAGCCAAATTTTTCACGCGAAATCCTTTCTTATTTAAACGAGGGAAACAACAGTAAAACTGGTGTAATAGAAACGTGTTTTTCGACAAAGAAGTCGTCGCCTAACGAGGTTTATTCCGATATGTATAGTTCGACAGAGAAAGACAAAATGTATCCTGTATATGCTTCTGCAGAAACTTTCCAATCTCCACTAGTGATTTCAGAACCTCGTTTTCAGTGTAACGAAGGTTCTGATTCCGAGCGACAGGGGGAGCTGCAAGCACTCGACTTTTCATGTAACACTGAAGATAACTGGTCAGAAAACCACGAAGATCATGATGTAGACGACTCTAAATGGTCAACTGTAAGCTCAAGTTGCGGTTTAACTACACCAGAGGGAAGACGAGGTGAGTTTAAATGTAGAGCACCGTTCTAGCAGAGAGAGAGAGAGAGATAAAAATACCGCCCTCTATTTATGCACGTGAAATGACATCCTTACCAATAATACATTTACATAAACTATGGGTCGGGTATGGCGAAGTAGTTAGCCTGACGAAATGTGGATCCAAGAGTCCAATGTTCGTCTCCCGTTGCAGCAAAATCGCGATTCTTGTTTATCGTGGTCTTGTTTATGTTATACCATCGATGACTGAATCCCCTTATTCGGTTAGAATAACCCAAGCGTTGGCGGTGGGTGTTGTTAACCAACTGCCTTCCCTCTCGTCTATCTGTTCAAAATTAGGGCTGGCTAAAGTATATATTTGGTATGACTTTGCACAAATATCTAAAAAAAAAAAATTCAAATCAAATCGTAATTTTAAATACTTATTAATATTCAACGCACGTGATAAACATGCGTAGGTTAGCCTAACTGACTTTTCGTGTTTGTGAACACTTCAATCATGATTGCACGGAAACTTTATTGGGCGTGTCCCAAGCGTTGAGACGAACAGAGTCGTCTCTGCTGAATTGTCAGAAAAACTTTAAGAGAGTCCCCCCGATGGGACAGCGATAAGTCTACGGATAAATCAGGGGGGTTCGATTCCGCTTGGATGACACAGCAGATAGCCCGATGTATCTTTCAACGCTTTGAGAAAGAGGGAGTAGAAAAAGAAAAGTGTCTTAAACTGAAAATTATTGTTATATGGTAGGGATTAATTTATGGATCAGCTTTTAGTGTATTATTTAATAAATCGTAACGGTTTGTATATTAGAGTGAAATTTGTCCCGAAGGGCCATCTAGTGGTCTTGAAGGTTGTTACAGCACTCGCGGTTAAGGTTATGTAGGTAAATGGAGCATACTGGAGTGTGATATTGGACAAAAGCTGAAACTCGCTCGAGTGCATTCGCTCTTTTTTATACTCCTCCAGCAGCGTTGATCATATTCGGCTCTCAAAAAATACGAAAATGTGTCCACGTGTCCGTCGTTATCAACGGACACGAAATATTTTTGGCAGGACAATGAGGAATAATATTCTACACCGGTCCACCAAGTTTCGTCAAAATCCGATCATTTTTGACTGAGTTATAGAGCCAAAAATAGTGTGAAAAATCGGTCCCCCTGTTAACCGAGGGGGGGGGATTTGTCTGGACTTTCGTGATGTGACCTTAACACTCCAAAATCTAATCGCTTCTAATTTGGGTCACAGTCCAAATGTATACCAGTTTTCTTCCAAATTCATTCAACCAGTTTCGAGAAATCTTCACATACATACATAGATACATACATACAGGTGAAAGCATAACCGTCGGTGGAGGAATTATATTATCACAATAAAAGCAGTAAGGTGATAATGGATACAGGTATGAACAGGTGCTACCTATCCAGCTAATTTTGGGTAACCACTATCAGGGATAGGGAAATGAATGCTTCGTCCTTCTTACTGTTTTGACTGTATTACCTTTATTAATTTAATTTGAAGCCCCCCCCCCCGCCAGTGGCACAGTGGTGTGTCTGTGGACTTGCAACGCTTGAATCCGGGTTTCGATACCCGTGATGGGCAGAGCACAGATAACCCATTGTGTAGCTTTGTGCTTAATTACAAATAAACAATTTGAAATTCGACTTTGCTTGTGTGTGTGTGTGTGTGTGTGTGTGTGTGTGTGTGTGTATATATATTATTTATTTTCTACTTCTACTTAATACTAATATTATTATCTCACCCTACCTAGTAGTATATTTAGTTTTAGTATGATAAGGTTGTTTATTTTTACGACTGT